TATATATATATATATATATATATATATATATATATATATATATATATATATGTGTGTGTGTGTATAAAATTTATTTGTTTATATTATATTTGACGTATATACCGTGCACGTATTGAAATACAGACGTTAAAGTAAAAATACTAATTCCCGCGCACACACACCTAATTCTGGACATTGTTTTGACATTTAAATACAAATATTTAAACTTCCAAGACATAAAAATGTATATACTCAATACTTTGGAAGTTTAAATATCGATATTTCAAGACCAAAACAATAAGAACATGTCCGGGTATTTTGGTACTTTTACCCGAATTTGAATAACGTTATTAACGCGAAAACGCGAGCCGTTAATTTGGAAAGTAGCAATATTTTGAAGAATTGTGAATCGAGACAGGAGGCAGAGAGTCCAAAATCGTGGCTCAGCTCTGTTCGCGATGTTGATAAGTGAAAATTTCCGAAATTCGACTGTAGGGCGAGAGATTGTGACCTGCGAGACGAACAACGAACGCTCGCTCGGCGGTTATTCGTTCCGCAGAAATACGTTATTTATCGCCTACGGTGACTCGTTTTTTCGTAACACGTAACCCGACGCGGCGCTCGGTGCGTGTAACGCAAACAATATCTCGCACCTCGCGCTACTTCGAGCGCGACAACGGCCGTTACGAACAGCGGCCGGCGATCGAAACTTCTTACAAAAACCTCCTTCGTAGGTAGGTCACCCGCTGGTCCCTACTAAATTATCTTTGTGGATTCTCCACACAACTCTCACAGCGGCACGACACGAAACGATCATTTCGCTGCCCCAAAAACGAGGGACTCACAGGGCCGATTTTTCCAACCTCTTGCGATAAGCTAACGGTTAATTCATATGTCTGCCTTTGTTTCTCCTTCAAATTAGACAAAGATTTGCTTCTCCTTCAAATTAGACAAAGATTTGTTTCTCCTTCAAATTAGACATATGATTTAACTGGTAGTTTGCTCACCAAGAGATTGAAACAATCGGCCCTCAAAAAAATAAAAACCGAGAGCCGACCTTGCCTGCGCGACAACAACTCTGATAAATAATTCTTTTGTACAACTTCGCTCTCTGCGTCTCTCGAGCATTCGTTACGGCACCGATCGCCGATCCATTCACGCGTCTCTCGAGTGTTTATATCGGCTGTATCGAATTTGCTTGACAATATTAAGACAATATCTCGAAACTTTCTGAACTTACGACCCCGGCAACAATTGGTACCTCGGAAACGGTCGTCACGACCTTTTCGTCAGCCATAGAAAAGAAGAAAAAAAAGAAGGTCTACAAAAACAATCTGTATTGTTACTTACGTGCATCTTACCCAGCTAGAAATACTCTCCATTTCCGCGCGATTCTCCCTCATATTTCTCTCTCTCTCTTTCTGTCTTTATCGCCGAAGAACTTGGGTCTCGTCACTCACGCGGTGTTGATTCTCGAGAGCCGTTCGACGTAATATACAGGTCGGAGATGCGGATCGGCGCCGTTGCCGCCGTCGACGGCAATCGTCGCCGTGTCAATCGCGCCGTGACGCGTCTCGGTCCTCACAATGCCGCCTCCTCCTGCTGCTGCTGCTACTCCTCCTCTTCCTCTTCCTTCTCCTTGTCTTTTTCTTCTGCCTCTTCTCTTCGTCTTCTCTTCCTCGATCCGCGTATTCTTCGGGCACGTGACGCGGAGCCGCGTCGTCGTCGTCGTCGTCGTCGTCGTCGTCGTACCGGCGGCGCGCTCGATCGGAGGTGCGTCACACGCAGGTAACAAATCGAAGCCGCGACGTTATAAATCGACGGGCAGCCGCCGTCGATCACTCGCGATAGATCACTCTCTTCCGCTTCCTCCTCCTCCTCCTTGGTCACGGCTCGTTCCTTCACACGGTCGATCTTTCTTTCATTCTTTTCTTTTTTTCTGTTTAGCCGGCGGAGATGCTGTCCCGACGCGATTTGCCCGTCCACTGCACAACACTACCGGGTGTGTTCCGTGGATCATCCTCCGGGACAAGAAGAACGAACTACACACGAGGAGGTAGAGGACGAGGCAGAGGATTGGCGACGGATCCATCTACCGGGAACGGGGGCCTCTCAGCGAGGAAGCCGGCTGCGCACAGGACGAAGTTTCGAGCAAACTGCCGGCCGTGGCCAGGTGTCTCGCCTCTTTATTCGTTTTGGGCCCCAAGTACGTGAAAGCCCCTGACTGTGTAGGTGCCCCGTGGTCCCGCGTAGCCGATGGTGGGGACGTATTCTTATTTAACAGCAACGCAGCAGTGGCGGCGGCACAACACACAACGGCGAGGCCCGAACACCGAAGAGCCCCCCTTTTTCTTCCTTTTCGTCCCTTTTCTTGGACCCCCCCC